AGGAAGGAAGGAAGGAAGGAAGGAAGGAAGGAAGGAAAAGAAAACGAAAAAGAAAAAATAATAATTAATAGAATTATCTCAGACAGAATTATCTTAGACAGAAGTTCATTACCATCTTTTTCTCTTTTAGTTGAGGTCTTATTATAGCTTATTCTCGGGCCAGTCCTGGTCGTCCCTATATTTTCTTTATCTGATATTTTAGAATGTGTCGTCGAGGAATAACGCTGACCTTTACTGACTGGCGGCGCTATCGCTGGTTTTAAGCTGTTTGTCTCCATCAAGATTAGATCGTCTACTGTTGTTCCAGACACGGTAGAGGCAAACGAAAGTAATGACGTCACATCAGAATCATTGAGATTATTTCCACCACCATGGTCTCTAATGGGTGGGTCAAATGTGTATGAATCTTGGTCCGTTGCTAAGGAAACAAGACTTTCTGGTTTTGGAGAAGAGCTCCTTAGAGGAGGTCTCATATTTTCAAGATAGTCCTGATCCATGTCAATACTTTCATCGAATTGACTATCGCGATTCATAAGTCTTTCCATTTCTTGGTCCGTATCTTGATATCCGCCTTGTTCTTGTTCCTCACCAGGATGGTGTGGCTTCGATATTCGAGGTTTAGTTATTCTTAGCATCTTATCCTCTTTAGGTCTATGTTTTTTACTAAGACGCTCATCACCAGTGTTTGGTAAAGCGATTTGTTTCAAGGGAGTAGGTGCAATAGATGACTGAGTCAGGTGGGCCTGGAAGCTTGATATTAGTGTTCTTACATCTTGTAGTAAACATTTGAGATCCTGCTGAACTTCATTGTCTTTCAAGGGACTTTCCGGCTGGGTTTGTGGCTGAAAGTAAATCAAAACGAAAATCAGAATGAGAAATGCTGTGTTTATTAGTTAAAAGATCACAACAAAACAAAGCGAAGACTGTAGCTATCAAAGACAAAGCATTCAACCAAGGCTGTAAGGAATCATTCAAACTTGTACTACCTTGGAGCCATGGCAGAGCTACTTTACTAGTATGTTTGAAGAGTGAACTGATGCATGGGAAGTGGTGACTAGAAATGGGTTACCTGAGGCGTCTTGTTTGTCAGGTTCTGTAATGTGATTGGTTGAGCCATAACAGGGGTTTTCTGAGGTACAGTGGTATTGATGGTCCCTATCTGACTGCTTACGATTGGTAACCTTTAAAACATCAAACAACAAATTTATCGAATCTTGAAACAACCTCTGAACTTATCAAAGGGTGCCCCCTGGATTCGCCCTTGTTGCCAGCTTACAGATTGAATTGAAATTTAGGGAGTGAGGAATATCAGGAAACCCGGAGACAGCCCCATCAACCCTAGCACCCGATGACGGATAATTATGAATAATAGCCCTCTTTCAAATTATCTTTTTATAGCGTGTGGTTTACTTCTTATTCACTTGTTGTATTCTACACACCAACACCGTCACAAATAGTAGGAAGGTAGCTGCTATACTAACCGCTAGTCACCTTTAAGAAACGGCATGTGTTGGTTAATTGTTACTTTTCATCCTAGTGTTCAAAATGATAATTTAAGAAAGCCCCAGGTTTGGTCAAGAAAGTTTCTGTCATCTTTTCCCATTCTCACTATTGATTTGTTGCTAAATCTGAAATTCCTCCCCCCC